TCCTAAATTTATAGAGTTAATGTATAAATATACATTGTATAAGTTGGTTTGTATAATTATTAAAGTGTTAAACTGCATATATAATGAAATTAACAAAAAACAAAGAAGTAAAAGACTTAAATTATCAAACGAGTATATTACAACAAAAAAACTAGGAAGTTCAAAACATTTAAGCTTATTATTCATGTCATTTGCATATACAAAAGAAAACAGAAATTTAGTACTACTGTTCTAATTAATGGTGATCTTTTCACTGCTATCGCAATCCCTGTCAATTCTGATTGGCCTTTCTGGTGCCTCATTGTCACTAGTGGTATCAGCTTGGATCTTTTGCATTCCATAATTCCACAATAATGCAGCATATCAAATACATGTGAACTCTGAATCGAAGGAATTTAGAACCCCATTTCTATTACTGATATGGTCTGCATAAGCAGCAACATATAGTCCCCAATCACTGAAAATAAAACACATCAAATTGTATGGTCAGTATAAAATTAACAATAACAATAGAAATAAAAATAACCATAATAAAACTTACAGGCTTCCTTCAGTTTGTTGTGGTATATCCTTGACATAAATCATTTCAAACGAGTCAAATTCAGAGTGGGACTTGTATTTCGGGTGTGAAAACATGTCAATGTCTTTCTTCTCATAAAAATCAGACTTAGATAGATACATGAGAATAAGTTGTGCATATTTCTTGATCTCATTTTCAACTTTTGAATCGTGTAGTGCCCCACCACTAAGAGAATCATAGATATGTTTACATCTATCATTAAGGAACACAATGATAAAAATCCAGTGAAAGATCTCCTTGACGTTAACATGAATGAGAATGTTATCAACTGTGTGCCAAGGTGCAGTAACATGCATTCTGTATCCATTAATGTACTCAAGAATCGACTCCTCCGTACTGTCCTTATTGATATTACTTTCAAAGTTGTAATAAGCATCCCAGATGTTGTGAATCAAATTATTGAAATTGCAATCGACAGTGATAAAACTGAATGTGTTGTTGTCGGAGTACTTGGTTTGCGTATGTAATACAAAATGACATCTATGTACTGTAAAAATAAGTAGTTATAATTTGTACAAAATTGTCATTTATACAAAATATATCAATTGTATAATGAAATAAATAATATCACACTTACCGAGTCATCAAGCAATTGATCTTTGTATGCAAGCTTATAGAACCACTTCTTGTTTTGGACAATGACAATTCCAAAATGAAACCACATTTGTAAGACAACCTTTTTTCTTTTTGTATCGCTCCTTTGTCCTTTCTAACAAAATCAAAATCAAAGTAAAGCTTTATACAAATATACGTATATATAATTAAATCTGTATATTTAGTAATTACAAAATGATTTACTTTGTGTTATGCTTAACAAGCAGGCCTTCATTTAACCATTTCCAGAAATAAGATCCACATCCGACATTGAAACAAATGGATGTTTCAAATCAAACGTGAAAGGAAACCTTGATAAACTACTTGAAATGTATAAAGTCTTAATAATCATTATAAGACTAACATTTATTGGTATGTTTGTATTATTGTGTAAACAATAAATTTTGTTGTACCAAACTCTGATCTAAATGATGTCACATAAGGCAATGTGTTAAATGGGCCTGGACATCTTTCCCTAGGAATCGGTAGTTGTGTGTGCTCGTCCACAGCTAACAAAGGATGTAACACCATGCTTCTTTCTGGATTAAGGTTTGATTGGTCATCATGTACCATCTGAAGAGGTGTTGGACACATGAAAACTTGTTCAACAATTAATTTATTGGCATCGGATGATCCTGATTTATTTGTATATGTAAAAAAATAAATTCCATCTTTTCAGTTTGATCTCATATAACATTCAATAAATCCTGTTGTTGTAAAATAATAAACAAAAAAGAATTCAAATGATCAGATTATATACAATTATAAAGTCAAATTTATGAAGATAAAAATTGAGAACTACATGCAAATGATGAATTGTTGAAGTCTGCTTGATCATTCATGAATTGGGATCCCTCTTTGTTAACTTCAATTGGAACATTTTGACAATCCTCCTTCTAAATATATAATAGATGTAATATAAACAAATGTTTATATATTATAAAAATAAAAAAACAGTTGTTGACAAATTCAAACCTCAGAAGTGTTTTGAACCTCAAAAATGTTTGGAAACTCTTAAGTGTTCTGAACCTCAAAAGTGATTGGAACCTCAAAATTGTTGTGAACTCGCATCAAATATCACTTGGTATATTAATAATGACATAATTATACAATTTGTTATACAAATTGAATGTTGATATTAAATTATACAATTGACAATTATACATGTGTTGGATAGTTAGTTAATTGTATATGAATACTACCCATATTTGTATACGTATATGTATATGTATGTTATTTATTTGGAAAAATTTAAACTGTATATGTATGTTTAGTTTAATTGTATATAGCAATTGATAATGTTGTTTATAACACAAAATTAATAAATTACTTGTGGCTCGAGAGTGTTGAATTGTTGACTTAAAGGGCTAAATCCTCAGTGTCCAGCTGGAGACTGTAAATGTGACTGATGAATACTAACTTCTGAATTAAATGATGGGATTGCTACTCGAACAACCTTCTGCAGAAGATTTAAGAAAATATTCATTACATACAAAACATCATAAAAGTTTGAATGATCAACAAGATAAATAAGTATAATACCTCTTGATCATTTAGATCATTCTAAATAGATTGACAGTTCAATTCAGAAGGTGAATGTCGAGAAGGTTCTTCGGACTGATCGCACTGACTGTTGGCACTTTATGTGTAACTTCTACACCATCGCCCTAAAGTGAAAATATTAATTGTATATTTATTTTTTTATGTATAAAATCTATGTATTGATCTCTATTAACAAACATTATCCTCCGCATTCTTGGTTTTATAGAATCCAACACAACTTTGAATTTCTTTTCAATTAAGTTCCTTAAATCAGTAAACTGTTTCTCCATCTGAAATTGGACATATATAAGTAACTTTAATGTTAAATATACAAATTAAATAGTAGTTGAATAAAATAAAAATTAAAAAAATCAATACCGATATTTGGAATTGTTCAAACTCTTCACGCGATATACTGAAATCAGGTGACTTGTTGGTGGATGGTATTTCAGAAGCAACACTTGATTTAATCTCAACATTTTGCTTAATGCCTGTATAGGAAGTAACATTAGCACGTTGTTTAGCTTGCCTCTTCGGAAGTGGTGACTTGGGTCTCTTTGGAACATTGGCATGTCGAGGAGACTTTCTCAAACAAGGATGCTTTGAAATAATCATGGATGGTGTCTTCTTCTGAATAGGAGTGATTTTCTGCCTTGATTTCTTCTTAGGAGGAGACGAACAAGTATCAACTTTTTCTTTTTCCTTGTTATTTTTTGAACGGGAGGATCCTGAAAATCATCGTCCAAATCATTTGCAGCTGATATTTTTGTTGGAGATTGATCTAATCGAACATACTCAGGAGGTAATTCAAGAATCGTAAGTTCCATTGGAGTTGGACTTAGATTCTGAAAAATAAGCTGCAAATTATAACACGTTCATATTGACATATTCATTAATAAATCATTCAAATATGATGTATGCATTTGTATAATTGTGCAATTGTATATGTCTAAGTGAACATTATACAAAAGGTTTCCTTATACAAATGCAAAAGGAGATACATAAAGCACAAAATTATACAGTGAATAACTTATACATACATATATATATTGCACAAACTTATATGTATACTTATACAATGCATAAGCTTATAGATATACTTATGGGATCTCTATATTTATACAGTTCACAGACTTATAGGTATATTTATACATTGACAAAAACTTATATATATATTAATACATGGCGCACATTTATACATATATTTTCCTAGAGCACAAACTGATACATATATTTATACAATTATATATTTATACAGTAATAGATATACTATATTTATACCGAGCATAAATTTATACATATATTTATACAGTGCATACCGGATTGTTGTCGTCTCTGAACATGCCCTTCGCAAAGTACTTTATACGAGGAAAATCCTTTTTTGTCTTCCAGTTGAGGATCCTAGGGATGTGGTCAAATACTTTTACAACAATTTTCTCATCAAAATTCGAACAACATTCATAAAATCATACTTGCAAAGCAAGTGGGAAACCATATAACCTGTAATACTTCTCATCATGTTCAATCTTGTTGTGCAAAT